CGGCGATCTCGGCGGCGATGGAAAGCTCTCGTCGAGACGGTCGTCTGGGTATACTGTACATCTCAATCGGACTTCCAATTAGTTCTGTAGGTCAAAATATATTTCGTCTCGGTTTACCTACAGATCTTATACTGTATTACTCAATACACCCTTCTTCAACTTGTACCAGTGGAGCAACAAGAAGAAGATAAAGCTCGAATGAGATCTAGAGAGAGAGAGGCGTGTGAGGTGTGTATCTCGTGTGAATGAGACTTCTATTCCCTTCTCATGAGCTTAATGATGTATATATAGAGCTACAGTAGGGACCCTAAGGAGATTAGGAAAAGGGCTCCTTAATTAATTAGACTAACTGTGGGCCAAACCCACTCCTCTAATTAATTAAATAATATTAATGGGCCACCAACATTATATTATTGCACTCCCTTTCCCTAGCCCAAATTACATTTGAGACTCCAATAATAATTACTCGATTTACCTCCCCACGTTTAAGATATAATGTCCATTAATTAATTCGATTACTGACAATCAAGAATTAATTAATTTATTATTATTTCACCGAAGCTAGCGCTCGTTCATCACATTCTTATTATGCCGGAATTTAATCCACCTGCAGGGTTTAGCATAACAATCCTTCATGAACTCACTCCGGGGACATCATCAAACTAACGCACATGGTGACCGTAAATATCCTAACAGCACATCCTATATATAATAATATTACCCAAAACAGTAGGAATATTAATCCAGCGAACTGAACCTCACCCATGTGAATCAAAGTAATATATATTATATATATCTGCCTGTTTAATATCTTACGGGTTAAGAGAACGCAGTAATTAACCGAGGCCTAGTTCATTTACGACGATCAGTATAAAATGAACTTCTCCTCTCTGGGATCCTGTTCAATACATAAATGTACTAGTGCAACTAATCAGTCAAGACAAACTGTACAGTTGACACTACAACCGTTCGGATGGGGTGTTCATGTCCATCTAGGTTGTGAACAACTATTCTTGTTCGCAAGTAACTGATAGAGTGATCTTCGGTTCGCCCGATGACGACCCACCCTATCTAAGTGCAGAACAACAGAACGTAGAACTTGTTTAATCTAACATGATTCTCATTCATAAAGGGTAAATGTGTAATAACATGCAAAGCCAAGCTCTCAGTATATAACACTAACAAGCCGACCTCTGGTCGTTGCCGCTCGCTCGTGTTAGACTGCATTGATCAAAGTTGCAATTCCACTTATCAAACGCTGTTAGTTGTTAATCATAGGCCACCCGTTGACGAGTCGTTAGGGGTTAGATTTGAAAATTTTAACTAGGTTAGTTTTGAGGTGTATATTTGTGAGGGTTGTCAAACGGATTTGTCTAACGAGTTAAATGTGTTTTACATGGATTTCAATGCGATTAAACATGCTATCGTATGAAAAATGAGATGAAAAATGACATGCCGTTATATTATAATAATAATAGACCAGGTCGGCCGTTGTTCCTTCTCAACTCGGATGCTATTAAATGTGGTATTGAATGAAAGAATATTTGTCTCTGTCCTTTTGCCAGAAATTTAGCCACCTTTTTGCATGATTTCTCGTATATTATTTATAGTAAGGGACCCTCGATTACAGTTCATTAGGTAAGGCCATCTGTCATCACTATGCTTTAGGCGGCTAAGGCCAATAGGCTTGCAAGGATAAGGTGGTGACGTCCCATCTGTCATCATTTGAGCGCAAGTAGTGATTATTTTATTCTTTCCATCCATGACACACCTAGGTCTTTCCTTCTGACGTCATACTGTTTCATTTGCCTTAAGGATGTTATCGTGTTGGTTCTTGGGGATGATCCACCGACCTAGGATCAGTACTTAGCGCATATTTCTCTTATCCTGTCATTCAATTCGGTATCAACAAGAGTGTCAAGCGAGAAAGACGGAAAAAAAAAATAGAGAATGAGAGTTCTTGATCATTGGAGAAAGAAGAAAAAGAAAAATAAAGAGAAATGATAGAAAGAGAGAGACGAAGGGATGAGATAGAGTTGACATATGTAATGTGTTTTTTAAGAATATTGGTATAATTGAATGTATAAAATGAGATAATATACGTGCAAATAAAAATGATCTTAATGATGGATGGGGTAATTTTATCGAATAAGTTTTACTTATTTTGGGCCATGACTAAACTTTTTTTTTTTTATGCTTCGTTTGAATTAAAAGAAAATTATGTTGTTCACTTACAATTTTTTTTATTTGCATATTTTAACGATGTTTCATATCTAATAACAAATATATTAACTTTGACTGTTTGTGAATGTTTGATTTGTGATTTATTTTTGTTATTGGTTTCTAAATCGCATTGTTTATTAACTTATGACTCGTTTACAATTTTTTTTTTTTTTCAANAAGTGTAGTCAATGTGTAGAAGAGTCTTGAATCAAGAGGGGGTAAAATATAATGCCTTGAAAGTTGGACCGACTTGGCAATGGTTAGTTTGAAGAGAAAACCGAGCTGGTTTGGGTAGTTAGGCTGGATAAAAAATTTCTAACATCGAACCGGGTGATCCAACTCTGATCCGATACCTGGGTGTTGACTCGTAGGGGTCAACCCTGTTGTTCATTTTTTTTATGTTCTACATACATTTTTTCTTAAAAATATGTTTTTTTTTTCATAATTTTAATTTATTCGTATATACTTATATGTGGTAAACATTAAGATAAGAGAATATTACATTTTTGGTATAAATTTTTAAATAAAACTTATTTGTTTATGTTGATGTCTAAAAAATGATCAATAATGTGTTTGAACTGTATACTAAGATGTATACTCGATTCGATCTACACGAATAGGAATTTATATGGAATTCGGTACGAACGGTGGTACGAATGGTGGACCTATCCGTGACTTTTATAGCATTAATGAGAGCACACATTGCATTTAATGTTGCCTCTCCTTCCTTTTATAGGAAATGTGAGGACTTATTACAACCCACTTTGGGACTTCATTTTATATTTTCTTTTACAAGATAATCTTTGATATTTAATTACACCACATTTAATGTTTTTTTACTACACACTAGGGACGGTAACGTAATTAACCAATCAATTCAAGCAGGACGAGGTACTGAACATACAGCGTTGCGTTCACACTAGGGACGGTACCTCCTGCCTGCTTGAATTGATTGGTTAATTAGTGTGAACGCAACGCTGTATGTACGTAATTAACCAATCAATTCAAGCAGGCCGGAGGTACGTTCAGCGTTGCGTTCACACTAGGGAAGGTACCTCTTCAAGCAGGACGAGGTACTGAACATACAGCGTTGCGGTCACACTAGGGACGGTACCTCCTGCCTGCTTGAATTGATTGGTTAATTAGTGTGAACGCAACGCTGTATGTACGTAATTAACCAATCAATTCAAGCAGGCATGAGGTACGTTCAGCGTTGCGTTCACACTAGGGACGGTACCTCGTCCTGCTTGAATTGATTGGTTAATTACGTTACCGTCCTTAGTGTGAACGCAACGCTGTATGTTCAGGACGAGCAAAGCAAGACGAGAGCAGGCAGGAGGTACCGTCCCTAGTGTGAACGCGCCGCTGTATGTTCAGTACCTCGTCCTGCTTGAATTGATAGGGAAGTCCCTAGTGTGAACGCAACGCTGAACACTAGGGGCGGTACCGTAATTAATCAATTCAAGTGTGAACGCAGCGCTGTATGTTCAGTACCTCGTCAGCGTCGCGTTCACACTAGGGACGGTAATGTAATTAACCAATCAATTCAAGCAGGTAGGAGGTACCGTCCCTAGTGTGAACGCACCGCTGTATGTTCAGTACCTCGTCCTGCTTGAATTGAACATACACGCGTTCACACTAGGGATGGTACCGTAATTAATCAATTCAAGTGTGAACGCAGCGCTGTATGTTCAGTACCTCGTCTTGTATGTTCAATACCTCGTCAGCGTCGCGTTCACACTAGGAACGGTAACGTAATTAACCAATCAATTCAAGCAGGCAGGAGGTACCGTCCCTAGTGTGAACGCACCGATGTATGTTCAGTACCTCGTCCTGCTTGAATTGAACATACAGCGGTGCGTTCACACTAGGGACGATAACGTAATTAACCGACCAATTCAAGCAGGCAGGAGGTACCGTCGATTCAGTCGGGCCGCGACACGTGTCTCTGCTTGCTAAACCCCTTCAGATGGGTGATTATCGAATCTTGTTGCATTTAATGCATATCGTACGGGCAAATATTGGTTATGATTAGCTCTGGTCCAACACGCTATCTATATCTCGCTCGTTCTCCAATCACATTCGCTTCGATCTCGACCCTATATATCATATTTGCCCACGCGAGCCCAGACGGATCTTTCACTTAATTTGATTTTTGTCCGTTCGGTTCGTACCCCGTACACTAGACATGACCAAAATAGTTTCGGGTCCAGTTCTGTCTCGGAACAGCCAAGCCGACTTGAATATATGCAAGGACTGATTCCACGAACCGTTGGTTAATGGTCAGCCCAATTCACTAAAAAAGTTAAAAAAAAATAATAATTTTCTTAAAAAAAATAAAAAGACCGAATCCCCGGTTCTAATTCGGAACTAGTCCGACAGTTCAAAAAGTACATATATGTGGCCCAAAATTGACCCGGTCAAACCACGGGGCTCAGTTCACGTCCAGTTGACCACGGGCCGATTCTGAGCCCGTTGACCATAGGCAAGTTGCGGGCCGGTAGGGCCTGTGGTCATGTCTAATTGAAACTAATTGGATGGGCCTATTCTTACTAATACCATATATCCAGGGACCAAATGGATATATTTGAAAACTTAGAAGTTGTAGGGCCGTTGGTCATGTCTAATTTGAAATTTGAAACTAATTGGATGGGCCTATTCTCACTAATACCATATATCCAGGGACCAAATGGATATATTTGAAAACTTAGAAGCTGTTCTTCGCCTCTATAAGTTCCAGCAAAAACAGAGACAAGTTGTTTCTACTAATAAATCTCCAAAATTTCCATTGGTAGATTATAATCAAAAGCTCCAAATTCTATGCACTAAAACATCTCTGCTAAATTTTTTCTTCACTAAAAATTCCCAAATCGTTTTCTGTCTCTCTATTGCTTCTCGCTCTAAAAATGCTTTTCAGAGTCACAATCTTTAGATTTTCGCGATAAATCTGTTGTAGTTCCGAATTTTCATACTTAAATTCCAAAAAGACATAACAGTTGAATCTTTCCAGCAAATCCATGGAGGATTGCAGCGTTTATGATGATTCTCATGTTCAAAATGTCACATGTTCTTCACAGGCTCTCGATTCTATCTGGGTTCCAAATTCTTCTTCACCTTCTTTCCATGGTAATCTCATTTGAAAAAAAATTAAGATCTTTTTACATGTTTTACATTTGTGTCTTGATTGGTTTCACAGTTTTTGCTGCTTGTGAATAATTTTATCCGTCTTCAGTTCAGTGTAAAAGGGCAAAACAAAAAAGGAGTCTTTGGTCAGTAGCTTAGTTTTTCATGCATTGCCTTTAAGGTGTTTGATCAATTGCTTTAGCGAACAAAAGTAGCTTTTTTGAATATAAAATTAGAATCCAATAAAAATAAAAGCTTTTGGGAAGTAAAGCAGACTCCAATAATCATTGCTGTTATTTTTCTCTTTATCTCGTTTTTAACTAGAAATTTAACATTTTTTTCCCTGTTTTGATCTTTCCTGCTTCAGTCCCTGCTTCCATGGTTAATTTCCAAAATGCCCACGAAGATCAAGATCCTCCACGAACCCAATTCATCGAACAAGACGATAACGTCGAGGAGAATCAAAACGAGTTCGAAGACTTTTTTCCACGGCCCGAAAAGAAGAGGCGGCTCAGCCCAAACCAGGTCCGATTTCTCGAGAAGAGCTTTGAAGTGGAAAACAAGCTCGAGCCCGACCGAAAAATCCGGCTGGCTAAAGAACTCGGCTTGCAGCCTCGACAGGTGGCAATTTGGTTCCAAAATCGAAGGGCCCGGTCCAAAACCAAGGTTCTTGAAAAAGAATATGATTCTCTGAAAGCAAGCCATGATAAGCTCAAGGTTGATTACGATTCCCTTTTTGCAGAGAATGAGAAGTTGAAAAATGAGGTNAGGTTCAGCTGCTGAGAAAGAAACTGAATTCGAAGGAGGGTTTAGAGCACGAGCCCGAAAAATGCGAGCCCCTGATAAGCCCGCTCGATTTTCATCCAAAGATTCCATTTTTATCGGGAGATGGGGGCTCAGAGGTTGTACCCGAGACAGGGTACAAGCAGGAAGATGCGGCCAGCTCAGCAAAGAGCGATGTGTTCGACTCGGACAGCCCACATTGTGCGGATGGGAATAACTATTCGCACGTTTTCGAGTCGGATTTTTCGCAAGACGAGGAAGAAAACGTTAAAAAGAGCCTCTTGCACTTGCCGAAAATCGAAGTCGAATGGTGTGGTGATGATGATGATTTGCAGCCAAATTCATGCAATTTGGGGTTTCCTGTACAGGATCAAGGCACTTGGTTCTGGCAATATTGAAGTGTTTTTATGTCTTTTGTAAATAAGTTGAGGAGGAATAATGAAGATTCTCAAGTATTTTTTGTTTTTTTTGTTTTGTTTTTTTTTTTTAACTTTCCAAGAATGTTTTAGGTTATTTTTTGCTTATTCTACCAACTATCTTTTGTGAAAGTGATGAAATTTGATGTTCTTGAATGATATGATATGTGATCAAACTAAAGACTATAAGATTTAACTCATTATTGTTAAAACTAAGAAGTATGTTTGAGGATAATAACAAATAAAAAATTGATGAATTGTGGTCCAAAATGCAAATACTCATGAATCTGATTTTCACTTGGAAATTGCATTTGTTGAGGGTAGATAGATGATGAGGAAAGCTCAATTTTTGTGTTAGAATATCTTTTACCGTTAGACAGCCTAACAATGGTATTTATTGAAGAATAAATTACGAGAAAAGTTCGATCTTTATTTTTTACTTAATAGCTTAACAACAACATTAGAATTCTTTACTTATCCAAAAATGAATTACAAGTCCAATGTTATTTTTTTACCATTATACAGTGTACAGTTTTGCTATAGAGTTATCGGATGGCTCGACTTATGAAACCATCCACACTTATTCACCAATAGTATATTGACACGTGTCCTACAATAAATACAATTTGGACAGGTGTCAATACATTCAGTGGTGGGTGGCTCCATAAGAAAACCATCCGATGAATCCGTAGAATTTTTGATACAGTGTAACAACAACATTTGTATCTTTTTACATGTTAAGATAGACTAACAACTTCATATCATATATTGAAAGGTAGATAATAACGAGAAAAGCTCAATTTTTGTTTCAATGTTATGCTTTAATTGTTAAGCAACCTACAAAAGTATTTTGTGTTCTTTTACATGTCTTAAAGAAACATGTAGCTCTCTTTATACTTGTTCTATTTATAGATTGTGTTCTAATTGCCACAAGTAGGCAGTAAAACGGCATATTTAATCCCACAATTATCAAGAATTGTATAAAGAATATGAGATGTTCAATTTTATTCATACTTCTAGAATGAAAACTAACACACAAACATAAGTCATTACGTCACTCTAGTTCTAAATTAGTGAAAAACAAAAAAAAAATAAAAAAAAAAAAAAATAAAAAAAAAATAAAAAAAAAAAAAAAGTGGGTGTTGCAGCTGAGTTTGAATCCTGACAAATTGGAAGAGAAAATGGGGAAAAAAGAAATGCCCACAAAAAGTCATAAACTTTAACCCAAAGTTCGTCGAATAGGCAATGACTTTTAAGCCGCTTTAGGTATAGTGTAGATGCTGACATTTTTGTCTTCTTCTATGTGAGCTGTATAAGAAAAAAATATTTTTCTTTAATTTATATTTTTTTTATATTTTCAAGAAGAATCTCAAACTTCTGAGCTCTGACAAGTCTGATATTTGCTGATTACAAGAGGGTGAGTTTGTGTAATTTCTCAAGTTATGTAGGTTTTAAAACATTCTCGTGATGGATAATTGATTTGAGTTTATCAACATATAATGAGATTAGCTTAACTTATATGAGCTTATTTTAATTTTTATGTGATATATGATATATATAGACTTTCAAATATTGAGTTTTTTTAATTTGTTTCAGCTAATTTATAAATTATTTTTATTATTTCACATAATTTTTCAGTCATCAACTAGTTTTTCAGTTATCAATTATGTACTCGAAATTTACTTATCAATTGACATTTAATTTATTATTTATCGGCTCATATCGAAAAGTATATTGAAAGTTTAGGCGCTTAGTTATTGAGTTACGCTTAATCATTAGTTACTATATGCAATTGAGCGAACTTTTGATTAATGTTTGGTAAAACTAGTTGATAAGCTAGTTGATAGCTGATAACCTACCTTATAGCTTAGATGTGTTTCGAGCTTCTTATGACTATAAGCTGAAAAACTAGCTTATTTGACAAAAATATTTGATAAAATTAGTTGAAATGATAATTTCAACGAACTTATTTGAAAAATTATTCAAAGAAACTTATGAGATAAGATTTAGTTTTTTAAAAAAGCTCGATTACAAGACGAGGTTTATTTAAATGCAGAAAACTTATAAGCTAACCAAATAAATTATAAGGTAGTTTATTTGGCTAGCAATATGTTTGATAACTATCATAAATTAACTTATAATTTATTTATTGGCTTGTTAGTTTATTAAATTTATGTGAGTCTCGTGTAGTAAAATGATCATTCTCTTTCTTATAAAAAATACCTTATCTCAAATATTTATGCAGTAAAGTTTCAATTAAAATAATGAGAATTTTGTTTCGCCCAAGTAATTTTACCAAATGCTTCCATTGTATCAATCGAATAATGGACCTTTTCGTTTCGCGCGCCCAGTAATTATACCAAATGTTTTTACTGTATCTATCGTATTTTTAGTTTTCAGCCATTTACTACCATGTTTAAAAAAAAAAATTATTAACTATCGGTTAGTTTTCCACTTTAATCAACATACGTTGCTCTGATTAGATTCTAAATTGAGCTTAAATAGTTTAATACAAGACAAAATTGAGTTGAGATATGTAAATTTCGTCACCTTTCATCCGTTTGTGCTAGATGAAACGAATCTTAATTGTTTAATCTTAATTAAATTGAGTAGACAAATTGAATTTATTGTTTTTTCAAACCCCTATTTATTATTAGCCTGATCATAATCTGGTTTAGGATTTGATGCACTGGCCAAATAATGCGGCTGAGAAACAAATTAGTGTAAAGTTGAAGGTGCATGTGAAGAAATTTCAACGTATAAATATAGTAAACTAAATAAATTAATGTCGTGTATAGCAAGAATTGCTAAAAGCATGGTAAACTTTAATGTTAAAATAAAAAGGGTAGATGTTTTATTTTTTTGTTTTTATTAAAAGAAAATTGTGTGTGTGCTGTATGATGATCTGTAAAATACTAAAATGACAAAATGGACAGGCTTTTGTTTGAAAAATTTATACAAGTAGTGCAATAAATTAAGTAGGTTAGAGTAATAGAGTTATAGGAGAATTAAGATAAGGTTTGCACATTTCAAATGATTGATTAATTAATTTTAGGCCTTAATCCACAATAATAAAGCCAAAGGAGGTTGCTCTAGGAAATTGAAACTAAATAACTCAAAAATTGTTATATGTCTTATGCATATTTTTTATTTAACATAAAAGTTAGTTGATAGCTAATAAATTAGAGAATAATTTATAAGTGAATTTCGAAAGTATAGATGATACATTACGGCTAAAAAACTAAGTAATACAATTAATAAATGTATTTGATAAAATTAACAAATAAATTAATTGAAGTAAATGAAATAAACTTTTTAATTTTTTTAAGTACTAGAGCCTTCTTTATGGTGTCATCGCATATGTGTGTTGATTTTTTTAGGGATTTTCGTAANAAAGAATGAAGCTAGCTACATTACCTTGATTTGGAATAATTACCGTTTTTCATGCATGTAAAATCTATCGCATATAAAAGCATTTGATACAAATGATGTCAATTTTAAAACTGCTTGATTTTAAAATTAATATTATATATAAAATGATTGTAGCATTTTAAAAATATATTTATTATTATTAATAATCTATAAATCACCTCCACATATTACATCACTCTTAAAATTTACAATTTGATTTGAACAATTCAGAATTTCTTCAAATTAAAACAAGTTAAATAAAGTCCATACCACATTTTTCAAAATTAACCATACTAAATCAAAAATCCAAACAAAACCAAAATTTTTTATAACCAAACTTCCTCTTAAAGTTTACATTAAAAAACTTTAAGCTATAGAATAGGATAGCGATTTTTAGTGATATGTCTAGAAAAACTTTCAAACACACGTGATTCATTATGTGCTGGGTAACATTATAATATTTTTTTCACCTAATTTCATTTATTTAATTTACAAACTAAAGTTGATGTGACTATCCTTCAACCCCACCGAGAATTAAAGTAATTTTCCGTAATTTTCAGAAGGACTGTTTTAATATTCGAGTTTTTATTGAGAGGTCACATTGGAGTAGTTTGGCCATAAATGCTGAAAAAAATGAGATGCAATTTATGGCTTATAACTTATATGAGCTAATAACTTGGCCTTTGCCTTTCAATATGTAGCACATTTTTTCAAGTGTAAAGTATAATTGTGTGTGTGAAGGGGCAATTAGATTGGGACATGATATAAGATTTTTTCGAAAAAAAAAAAATAATTGTTTCACCCCAAAAATAAGATGAAGTAGCTAAAATTGATTTTTGGAAAAAGTGAAATAGATTTGAGATTCCCAAATGATATAAAATAAAAGTATAACTATTATTGGTGATGATATATAAAAGTTATATAATATTGACTTATAATAATTTATAGTTAGACATATGTATTTGGTTTTCACTGAAACATATAATCACAAATGATTTCAGTTGTTTAATTTAATTGTGATTGAGAGATTTTAGAGTTGAAATCCAAATGAGATGAAGTTGAAATGATTTAGTTTTAATTTAATTTCTTTAATTTCTGCAATAATTTCCGAAAAAGCCTTCAATTTTGAACTAATTTCAGTGGAACCATGAAGCTTCTGGTATTTAATTTTGTCCTACATTAAAAATGGTCAACGCTTATTTCTTTAATTCTTCCTTTTTGGTACCAAAGTAAGAAATGTATGAATTATGAAGCAGCCTCGAGCTAGGGAATTTTTGTAATTTCAAGATTCTTATGGGGTTTGTTTTATAATAGCCCAAACCACAAGGATTTTGCCATAAATTGGAGTAGAGAAAATTTTGAGTATTTAATTGATGTAGGGACAAATGAAGCTGCAATTAGGTACTTTCACTAATACAAGATTCTTTTGGGCTTTGTTTTAAATTTTAATACCTGGAATCAACAGTTGCATAATTTATTCTCTATTCTAAAATGAATGTCAACTTTATCTTATGAATAATTTGTCATATTTATTTTTCTTATATATTTTCAGTATCTTATAAATTCTACCA